AGTTGTAAACAAGTAAAAAAGGTGAACATGAAAATCAAAAGGTGAAATGGTGTTTTAAATGTAGACAAAAATCACTTGAATAATCTATTGCTGTTTAATGGTGGAAGATCAGAAACCTATCCCACTTCAGACTTCTTGAACATCTTTGCAGTTTTCAGCAATTAAAACCATACATATGTGTGTGTTTTTATGTTCACTAGGATATCAAATGATATTCATTTTTTGAGATTTTTATATAACAAATATCATGTTTAGCTGCGTATTTTTTGCACAAATTTTAGAATTATTTACATATAAATATATTAAAAAATCACAAAAAAAATGTATGATTTGTTTGGTTTTTTGGAGTTTATCTCTTTTTTTGAGTATCTACAGTATTTAATTTATATGTTCTGTTAATATGCATTGCTAGAGAAAATCAATTTGCCCTATTTTGTACTATTTGTATTACTATATAAAGTAAGTTTATATTATTCAATTAAATTCAATTCAAGTTTATTTGTATAGCGCTTTTCACGATACAAATCATTGCAAAGCAACTTTACAGAAAATTAAGTTTCTACAGTATATTTAGTAGTAGCCTACCAGAGGTGACTGTCAGTTAATGTAGGCTACATATGGCAGAAATGTACGGAAAATCAATTAAAGGTGTAATCACAGACGATGAACACTATTAACAGCAATTATTATATGATGCAATCAAACTTGTAGCAAAATGTGGGAGTTCTGTATGTTGTTTCAGGGTTGGCATCATCTGAGGGGTGGGCATCATCTCTTCTCAGGTGTTCTGGATCCAGACTGAAGCTTGTGTAAATCCTAGTTACAGAAACAGAGAAACAAATAGAGACATAATTAGCGTAGCTGCTGTTCCAACCAAGCAAAATTTATTTGTTTAACCCAAACTAAAGAATAACAATGTGCATTTGATCAGATATAACTGCTGTACAAGATTATGAGATGTATTATTTGAATGCTTGGCCAAAGAGATGTGTCTTTAATCTAGATTTAAACAGAGAGAGTGTGTCTGAACCCCGAATGTTATCAGGAAGGCTATTCCAGAGTTTGGGAGCCAAATGCGAAAAAGCTCTACCTCCTTTAGTGGACTTTGCTATCCTCGGTACTACCAAAAGTCCAGAGTTTTGCGACCTTAGGGAGCGTGATGGATTGTAGCGTGGTAGAAGACTAGTTAGGTACACAGGAGCTAAACCATTAAGGGCCTTGTAGGTAAGTAATAATATTTTGTAACTGATACGGAACTTAATAGGTAGCCAGTGCAGAGACTGTAAAATTGGGGTAATAGGATCATATTTTCTTGACCTGGACTACCTGTAGCATGTTTATTGAAGATGCAGGACAACCACCTAGCAGTGCATTACAATAGTCCAGTCTAGAGGTCATGAATGCATGAACTAGCTTTTCTGCATCAGAAACAGGTATCATGTTTCGTAACCTGGCAATGTTTCTAAGATGGAAGAATGCCGTTTTTGTAACATGGGAAATATGATTTTCAAAAGACAAGTTGCTATCTAATATAACACCCAGATTTTTGACTGTAGAGGAAGTAACCGTGCATCCGTCTAGTTGCAAATTGTAATCCACGAGATTCGGCGTACTGTCTTTTGGTCCAATAAGTAATATCTCTGTCTTATCCGAATTTAATAGGAGAAAATTATTGGTCATCCATTC